GACATGAAGGAAAGTTTCCTTCTTTACATGCAAGGTGGAATCATCATGGTAGACATAATTATGAGGTGGGGACCACTCTTTGTTTTATGCCATGATTTGTGGCATGTTCGTTGGGGTGTTGTTTGCACGTGGAATTGGCTCATCCGTGGCTTTGTGCTTTCGGTGCATGCATGAATATTGTTGTCTTCTTTTTTGCCTGTGAGCTGGCTGGTTTTGGAGCATGTGGAAGACTTTTTTGACTGGGCCTCAATTGGCTTTATTGGGAAAAAAAAAAACTTTCTTGTAATAGGGATAACACCGTTTTATTATTCTCGACCGATAAATAATTACATGTGAAAAAATTATTACACATATCATCGTGTTATTGGCTGGAAATATTTGTTATCCCCATGGTAGTTCTCTCCTTTCTTAGGCATTCGGTGATGACTTGCTGCATGGGTTTATATAAGGTAGAACGCAGCAATTGGAGAGTGCGGGTGTGAATGTGAGCCGCGCCAAAGGCATGATAGATAGAGAGAGTTGCGGTGTGTGCTTGTTTGTGCTTGTGTTGTGTGGCACCAAAGGCCAGAGAGATGGTTGCCTGTGAGATGCAAGCAAGCAAAATATACAAAAGTTAAAAATAAAAAAAAAGTTACTGCACATTATGAGCTTTTTAAAAAGAAAAAAAAAATACAAAAGTTAAAAAAAGTCAGTGCACATGATCAGCTTTTTATAAAGAAAAAATACAAAAATTAAAAAAAAGTCACTGCACATAAAGAAAAAAAGTTGGTCATGTAACTATACTATAAGGGCTCGTTTGGTATATCGATTAAACTCTGGATATAAGTAAATAGTCCATATCAGGCGTTTGGTGATTATTTAATTACTTGACTATTTTAAACAAGTTGGGCTTTTAATACTCTCCTTACCTGACTAACTAATACAACCCACACACCCCGGTTTAGATAATACACACTTAATTATACAACTAGGGAGAAAGAACACACACGTTCACGTGAAAAATTTGATGACACTATTTTCATCTTCTTCTTTGTTATCTTCTCCAAAGTTATTCTCTTCACTCTTCTCCAAGTGTCCATCTCGCTCTCTCATACTCTCTCTAATATGCTTCTTCTCTCTTCTTCTCTCTTCATATTCTCTTTCTTTATATATTTCCTCTTTCATTAAATTTTTGTGAAAATTAGGTTGTGAGTTTTTCCTTTTTGACCTTTTTTTTTAATGTATTGGAACAATACATGCGGTTGTGTATCCAACTCAATAATCAAATAAACAAATAATCATCATGCGGCTGTGTATCCAACTCAATACATGCTGCTAAGTTTTTCTTGCGTTTTTTTTTTCTTTATATATTTCATCTTCTCCAAGTATCCAACTCAATAGTCAAATTATCATCCCAAGTCAAAACCAAGACCTAACATTTCTGTTGAATTGGCAAAGATGGACTTGTCTATTGATACCAAATTAAGGCACTACGACTAATTTTGGAGAAAGCAAGTGATGAGAGAACATTCCTAACATTGGATGGTGCTATGAGAAAATCATTTGTTCTTCTCTTACTTGGGCGAGGGAGCTGTGATTAACTCTTTGATGCAGTTTAGTTTATGAACAACTTTCCTTTTTGCTCTTATCACCTTAGTATGTGATCACTTTGAATTATTCATTATTTGGTAATGTTTTTATTAACGTATGTAAGTATGTTGGAATTTTTATGAGATACTACAATTATGATAATGGGTTATATGAAAAAAAAAAAAAAAAACCCTTGGCAAAAACAATTGAAAAACAAATCATGTCATATGAATCTTACCAAAAAAAATTCGTGTCATTTGAATTTCAATTTCCACTTAAATTATCAAATAATTTTTTGTAAGAAGATAGTCTGATCCGATGTTATCCGAAACAGCACCAAACACAGTATAACTTAGTCAGACTATTTATCTGGAACAACACCAAACGCCTTATAATATTATAGACAAACAGTCAGTACTCTCCGGAACAGATTAATACTATCCGACATAAATTAGTTAGTACAGTTCGACCAAACGAGCCCTAATTGTGTTCCATCCAACTTTATGTCACTGCACATGATCAGCTTTTTAGAAAGAAAGAAAAAAGTAAGAAAAATGAGAAAAATATAAAATATAGTACAGTTCGACCAAACGAGCCCTAATTGTGTTCCATCCAACTTTATGTCACTGCACATGATCAGCTTTTTAGAAAGAAAAAAAAAGTAAGAAAAATGAGAAAAATATAAAATTAAAACTTAAAAATTAAAAGAAAAAAGTGTTGGAATTTTTAAAAACTTTTAAATATTTTACCATTATAAGTTTTAAATTTTGTTTTAATTATTTGATTATTTGATTTTATTTATTTTCAGGGTTATAAATATTTATTTTCATATTTTATTTCTATATTAAATGGCTTAATTTTCTAGTTTAATGTGGTGAATGTTACGTGATTTTGGATGCCTATAATATGCCACTCCTCCTTCACATTTGAAAGAAAAGACCACACAACAAAATCTAATTATCTCTTCTCCTACATTTATATATATTCTCTACTTTCTATTAATATTTTTGGGCAATGGTTATGTGACTTGGAGATATATCCATCTATGAACGTGCTCATAACGGATCTTGAGCTTGTGTATTAGGGGTCATATCTTGGAGTCTTGTATACCGTTAGTACCTACACGTAGGGAGGCTACAAGGCTTTAGGACAACGTCTTTGACGTGCTTCACCGTACCAAGCTCACCTTCTTACTTATAATTTATTTTGCTTTTACTTACCTATCAATTTCTTTTTCTTCAGTTTCATTGTACCTTAAAAGCTTTCTAATTTGTTTATATGTTATTTATAATATAAAGGTTTTTGTATTTGGCTTTACAGAAACGGAAAACTATAATTTTTATAACTTAAAGCCTTTGTATGTTAAAGTTGTTTTCTTCCCGTACTGTTATTGCTTTAATACCTTTTAATTTTTTGACTGAAGCTTTTGCATTTGTATTGGAGTTTCAAATAGAAAATTATGGTTTGTTTCGAATAGCTGCAGTTTAAAGTTTCATGTTGTCTATAAAATTTCAATTGCTTTAAATGTTTTAAATCTCATTATGATACTGTTGGTACATTTTACTGTCACGTATTGGGTTTGACCAATTATTTGCATCAGTTTAATTTTTGTTTGACCAATTTTTATCTTTAATGGGTGTATTGATTTTGTCAATTAATATTTTGATAATAATATAGATACTATGAGATTTTATTGCTATTGTTCTTGTTTTAAAATTAATTTTGAAGCAACCAACAACTATAAAAGCATTAGCTAGTTGGCTCATACAGCTATTTTGGAACCAACCTCAATTTATTGAGAATTAGATCTTTTTACATTTATGGAGAAACTAAATTTGACAATTCTATTTTGTGCATATGCCTATATATATTTTCTTTTACTTTTGTTTTTTCCTCTTTCTTTTTAATTTTCTTCTAAATCCTGAATAGTCTCTTTTTTTTCTTCTCTTTTTGTGTGCTTGCAGCGAATTATACCTGGTTCAGTGCCTTGAGTACGTCTTGGGGTTGGTCTCGTTTCATTAAATTGGGCAATTTCAAAATGTCAGACGACGGCTTTTTGGTGAATAATACTTGCTTGGTCGATGCAGAGGTCACTGTCCATGGAATTGCTGAAAGCATTAGAGCCAGCTAAAGCTTAAAATACTTAAAAACATACCTGGTATGCTAGATTTGGAGATTGGAAGATGAAGAAGATGTGGGGGAATTGGAGGAAGAAAGCAAATCTAAAGATTGGAAGATGGTATTGTCATGAGTGACTTTATTGTAAATTATGTGGGTCTTGTACTAAAAATTAGTAAAATAAGTAGATACTCAAGACTTGTACAAAAGAATGAGGATATGAAGTTTCACCAAGCAGCTTCTCAGATATATTTGAACAATCAAGGTTGTCATCACCATCTTCACTGTCAGTACTCAGTAACTATATGACTTGGCTTGGCTTCTGGTTCAGGGCTCAGCATAAATTTCTAAAAACATTTCCCTGCGCAATTCTTCTTAAATTTCCCTACATAAGTTACTCTTGCATAATTTTATCATGTAAGATTTGCAACTCTTATCAGTAGTGCCCCCAGTTCCCCCCAATTCAGTACAAAGTAGATGGTCCAGATGGGGAGAGCTGTACTAGTCAAAGAGAGGAAAATGTGACATGTAACTCTTATATGTTCCCGAGGTACGTAACAAAATATATACCGGCCATAGTTCCAAACTTGCTATACCAAGCAGAAGCATGTAATATAGTGACCAAACAGTTTGGTCAGTAATATGGGTACGTGACTCATGTTTTATCGACCAAATTGCAGATTCTTATTAACCGAACAACATTGAATCGGCGTTGCATTGTTAAGTAGCATATGAATTACCTACTCAGCTTCCTGTGTTTGTAGATTGTAGAAACCGAGGAAGAAAGGAACAGATTACGGACATGGCTATGTCTCTTCTTTCTTTCAAAGATGGCAAATTCAAATTTATGTTGCTTACAAATTCTACAAGGTCAAGGTTTCTTATGCTAAGAGAAAAAACTGAGATTATAATTTATTAGAAAAACAGAGAGCTCTGCTTCTGTTACATTTTCCGTGATATGATGATCCCTTTGCATTGCTTGCTTGCTTTTTAACATCTTGAATCTTTTTCAGTCGTAGAATTCCGCGTCTAACTTTGAGAAGTTGTCAATTTTCCAAACATGCGTGGCATCTTTTATCATTGATAGAGACTCTCCTTTGCCTGTACTTCTCTCTTTACAAACGAAGATCTCTGCTCCAAACACACAGGTGTCATCTATGAGAAATCCATTGGAAGCTTTCTGAGAGAGGAACTGATCAAAGATCCAATCAAGCTTCATGCCGTGGAAGCGCCTTTGTTCTAAGCGATGTCATATAAAAAAAAGTCAGAAAATGAGACAATGCATTGCAGATATGAGAAACATACGCTTATCC